AGAAATTTGCATCCCAGTCTCGTTATTGGTTACTACAGTTTCAGGAGAACAAGAAACTGTCGTCTCAATAAGATTATTCCCGTGTGGGTGAAGCCGCCAGCGTGTGGAATGGCCTAAAATGAAAGGAAATAGTACGAGAATATCGGAAAATTTCTTTCTTGCTAAGTTATGGGTCGTAAACAATTTACGTACATCAACGAAAATGTTTTTTTTAGGATCTGTGTATTTTACTTTCAGTCTGTAGAACTACTTTGTACCTCACGTACGCGTACGAGTTTCTGTGCAATGACGGATACGGGACACAGACTCAAGATTTCAAAGGTTACAGAAATGATTACTAATATCGTAATCCTTTTCACAGTGTTAAAAAAGAGCAAACTATAAATTATCAGGGCAGAAATTACTGTCAAAATGATCAGTTACTGACAAAGAAACAGATATCTTTAAAGATGAGGACGTCATCGTAAAGAAGACAAGACAATTCTTCAATCAGCGAAAAATTCAAGCGCCCATCATACGTGCTTCGTGCGATCAATCTAATTCACCTTCTCTGTATTTTATAACAAATTTGAAAGCAGTAGGCACTAAAATGAACCATTTTGTGTCGGACCCTTCTCATTAGGAAACTAACTTAACCTAACCTAACCTAACATAACCTAACCTAACCTAACCTAATCTAACCCAAGCTAACCTAATCTAACCAAACCTAACCTAACCTACATTCACTTTACTATATTCAAAGCGCTGATAACTTGAGAACCTTGCATATTACGTTTATCTGAATCTCCTGTAAACAGCTGATGAACGTTATGTTTCACTTTATTGTCATGAACCCACACCCCACTATCTTACGAATGCAAAATATCATAACACATCAGCAGAATGCAGGGCAAATCTTAGCCATTTGAACGCTGGGATTATGAGTTCGAATCTCAGTCCCCAAGTCTTTCCTTTGTGGGTGAGACCTTACAACAGATTCCTACCAAACATCTAACAGAGGGTTTCAAACCTTCCTACAAGACCAAGGCTTCTAGAAAATGTGAGCGCGGTGAAGATTTTAATCTGTTGCGTCGGTCTTAACACTGCTTTGCGTATGGAGTTAACCCTGAGAGAAAAGAAATAATGTCCCTTCAAAATACAAAGATATTTTCCGGTCCTTTGGAACTTTTTACACACTTCAACGATGTTCGTAGCGAGCGGCGTACGCGAAAGAGAACGAGAAATCCGATAACAAAACGGCTTTATAATTGACTGGGGAAGATTACAAGATGGCAAACAGGTAAGAACGAGACTTCCCTTCGAGATCAATAACCCGAGATAAGAGCTGTAGGTGTGTATTACCGCGAGCAGAACACAACCATTGAGATGACTATGGACCTACCCGCACGGAATAAGAGGCAGGACACCCAAGATGCTGGTCGCAGATAGAAATGGAATGGATTCGGCTATTTTTGTTGTGCAGTGAAGCCTATGGTACAGGCGGTAGGTCTTGGAAGTGGCTGTTCCGTTTTAGGGGCTAGAAAAACGTCGTTTGGTAATAATTCTTCTGCTACGACGTGCGAACGAGGTCTGCTACAACTGGTAATACATACAGTAGTGCACGCTTACTACAAATCCCTATTGTCCTCCCATCTACATCTAGGTCTCCCCAGTAGCTTCCCGATTAAAACTATACAGACCTATGTATTTTTCTCGTATATGCTACACGGTCTGCCAATCTCAAGCCTCCTTCATTCGGTCACACTACCGATATACAAATAATTCAGCTGTTCCCTGCGTGATTTTCTTCACTTCTCGAAATATTAAATCAATGGAGACTGAACAGATGAATTCTACATAGAATTTGATACAGAAAACGTGACGGGAAGAAATTACTTGGAAGACCCAGAGATAGATAACAACATAATATTAAAATGGGTAGGATGCGTGTGGTCTGACGTCAGAATTTCGCAATCACCGTGTTTCTAATTGTTAAGTGATTAACCATCTCACAGCATGACAAATAATTTGTTCAAGTCTGTGTACCCGCATTCAGGCTTACAAGACGCTGTTTATGTTTTCTTAACTGGAGGGCCACCCCTTGTTGGCTGTCCACGATTAAGGTACTCATTCAATATATTAACAGCTACACTCCACATCTGGAGACCTCTTCTATCCTCAACCTCAGTCAGAAAAGGGCCCAACTTATTCTGGAAGCTACGACAAATGACAAGTTTCATATAACCGTCACGTTGTTTTATATTCTACGAAAATTATCTTAACAATTTTTGTGAAAAAAATCTGAAAGCTGACTAATATCATAGTGAACTAAAAGAACTACTTTCTTCCTCGAGAAATGAAAGTACTGGAAGGCTAGAAATGTACAGGCATTTGTTGATTTTAATCTCCTCACTCTGGGGGAACACGAGTTAGCCTGAAAACCTACTTTAAGAAGCCGGAGCGTAGACGAGAATGTAAGTGATTACATTCAGAATCTACGTAAATCTACAGTGTCTTCCTCTGTGTGTGTAAACTTGGAACAGGCCAGCGACACAGCCACTTTGAGGGAAGGTCCTCACTACCCTTCTTCACTGTTGTGCATTTATAGGGGAAATCATGCCAAGATGCTGTTAATTACAAGTCCTGAAGGAAACAATAGTTTACCTATCCGACTGTGTAGTTTCTACGTCACGTTTTCATCATTCGTGATTCTGCTGGTGACATCTAAGAGCAGAACACAGAACTATTCAGCCACTTGCAGTGACATCTGGTAGAATTATGGAGAACTGACTATAACACACGCTAAATAGCCCGCATATATATTCGGAAATATTTTGGGAAAGTTTAAGTGCATGATGCCACTGTTTGCGTGGTGGAGTCCCCTAGAATAATGGGGCATGCACTGCTGCTCACTTTGCCCATTGGATAAAATGACGGAACACAAATTGTGATTACGTATGGTAACATTATGGTGGCAATCTACATTAAGGATTGGAAACTGAACACAGAAAGGGATAATTGTGTAATTATTATTTTTTTATATATATTTTATACCATTCATGTTAATTGTTCAAAATTTTAAGGGGGTAATCACATTTGTGCTGTGAAATCATTGAGCGTGTGGCCAAGCCGCAGGGCACCCGCGTTTCCTAATTTTTCTCATATAAATTTAAGCATTAGAAAGAAGGGAAATGCCTTAAGTTTTTCCCCAGATATAAATTTTATCCCTGCAAAAGAACTCGACAGATACGACTTAACAAAAACGAGAAATGCATTAATTCTACGCGGCTGTCATTTCAAACTTAATGGTTCAACAACTGCCTTACTCATTCTAATAAAATCTAACATTTCTAAACTTTTGAAAAAAATTAGACATACTACAATTTGTAGGACACAGAAAAATAAACGCGCTAAATTTTACAAAACGTTCAGAACACGAGGAATTACTAATTTGAACTCCATCCTTTTCCATCAGTACGTGTCATAATTTTCATCCAGTTCTGAGTTTTTACGAAAGCCATGCAACGTACACGTAATTCTAACCCACAAACAAACAAACAAACAAACAAACTGCAGTCACTGTAACTATGCCGGTACACTGTAACGCAAATCGAGAGACAGTCAAGACGTAAAACTTTTAAGTCAAATTTTCCCTTAAGTGTAAGAATAACAAGAAATAAGTCTCTCAACAGAAAGAATGGGTGGATTATTCTTCCGTCGAAACTTCCCTTGCAGCAAGAAGCAAATTAATTAAAGCTTAAGATACAAAACTTGAAGAAGACTAGCAGTTCCCCACAACTTCTAAATTAAATGGAAAGTAAATCTCTGTTCCGAAAACACAATCCTCTCTCTGTGATCTTACTTCACAGCCAGGGGAAAGAGATGATTAAAGAATCACGCCGCGGCACTCGAACACAATTTTTCTAGCTGGATTACAGCGGAGAATACGCTACCTTTAAAAGACGCACACATTACGCGCTTTCTTTTTAAATTAAGTAATTACTCAAACAAAATATGAGAGGGCTGTTTTCAGGATCCGACATCTTTAATTTAGATGTTGAGAATCCACGAATCTCGTTTGTCCTGGCGCGGATTCAGGGATTCCGAAGCGATAAAAGGCGCCAAGCACTTTCAAGGGCAACATACTATACAACTGTCGTGTAATTGGTATTTTGGACGGCACAGACCGACAGAGTAACACGTTACAAAAATGATAAAAGTACAGTATTTAAAGTCTTTCAGTCAGTATTCAAAATTATCTGAACTTAAAAGAATAATTTCCAAATTTCAACTTAGCGAATCAACACAACCAACACTACTTTTATTTTTATTTTTGTAACGACTCAAACAGTACTTATAGAAAACAACTCAAAAACCATATAAGCAGCAAATATGGAGCCATCTCCGTCCAAAACAGAATAAAACTTACCCAGAAATTTATACGACTTATCTGTTTCACGCCTCACGTGAGGCACATAACACTGATTCGCTACCATCGTAACTTGTCTTATTCAAGCCATAAGGCACTTTACAGTACGTGCAAGCGATTTTTCTGTCATCAGCTTACACCTTTACACTCTCATGACATACTTTACGTTCACAGTGACGAAGCAAGACGTGGACGGCCAAAAGTGATCACAATATGAAAATTGCAAGCAACGACAGAGGAAATAACAGATCACTGACTTGCATGAACAGGACAGAAAAATTCATCCTCCAGTTTGATCAGTTTCAGTCTACAAAATAATTTACAAGTCATACATTGACGTTGTTGTTGTTGTTTCGAGGCTCTACAACCCGGTTTGTGGGTTTTCGCGGCCTCCTTTTTCGGAGGTTTCTCGGTCTTGAAGTGTGCATTTACGCGTAGTGAGTGACGAGCCCACTGACTCTGCACAATTTCTACTCAATCCTGATTTTGTCCGCTAGAGCCATCTAGTAGTGAATCAGGAGAGACCTGGGTGAGAAATGGCCGCTGAATTTTGCTTACGAAACATCTCGTTCACGCTCATAAGGTTCTTTTACGTGACGTAAATCTACGACATGGGACCGCCGGCTTTACTTCCCCTCCGAAGGAAGTTGTGCTACGGACTTTTATCACCCTTAAAAATCCATCGACCTCGGCTGGGATTGAACCCGCGAACCTTGGTTCCAGTGGCGAGAACCTAACCACTAATCCACCGACAAATTAACATTGTATTAATTACAAAAAAAACATTCACCGAATCACTTCAAGACGGACGCCTTGTAAATTTTCTCCCTGACCTCTCCTCATATTTTATGTATGGAATGCTAACCCTGGACAATACAGTGATTGCACAGGAACAACTGAGTGCAAGTGTACCCCACTTCATACAACAGTCAGGGTATGGTGCATCGTGATCTTCATGCAAATTTACATATGAACGGTCGATTGACCTGCTCCTAGCAGCAGCCTTTCCAGTCAGTAGACTTTGCACATCGAATCCAGCAAAACTTCATTTATATAAATTCAAAGTGCTTCCGTAGCCTTTCCAGTAGTTCCTTAGAACTGACATGGCTTGGATAAGCCTGCAGAGCTTTCTGAATCACAATGTAACTGGTTTGCAGATTGCCCATCTGAAAAATGTGAACACGTTTATTTCGTAATTTAATTCTTATAGAAACTGAAAGCAGGGACATGTGTACGGTGATCACAAATCCACTTAACAACTTACAAAGCTTACAGCTATAGTTTTACTAGAAACATCACAGGCCTACCTTTAATATACTACGGAAAGCAAAAACATTTTACCTTTTCCGCCAGTTTTGCAAAATTGTAATGCGGTTCAAACAGGTAAGGGGCAAGGCTTCCAGCTGCTTGGAAGAACGCACGTGCTTGCTCACAGTGCCCAAGCCTCATCTCCAGAACGCCAAGATTATTGTAAGCTGGAGCGTGGTTACTGTCTGCTGACAGAGACAACCTCAAGCACTGCATTGCCAAATTGCAGTCGCCAACACCCTACAAATCAGAAAAACACATTCAGTTACTTCAACGTCACAACATTTTACTAGTCTCGAAGTCACAGATGGTCCAATCTGTTCTACCTGCATGTTCGTCACCGGATACCATGCTCGGCTCAAGACGAAACCTCCATCCTTAGCATGGTATCCGGTGACGAACAGGCTCAGGAATGTTGGGGGAACACCAGGAAGTAAGCAGAGCCAAGCAAACCGAGCGCTTGACTCCGCCCCCTAGCTCCTTGGTCCTGGGTCTAGGCATGCGCACTGGTCCCGAGCAGGCAGTTACACAGGCGACTTCCGAAGATCAAGTTACATCAGAACCCTGAAGATGGGGACAGAGTTTGTTCCCGAAACGTCAGTTTACTACGGTAACCAGTTAACGCAGCTGATTGCCTGAGAAGATTTTATTTTCTTCTGGACTTTGTTCACAGTCTAAATTATAAATTAATAAAATTACATTTTGGAATCTGGACTCTTCTTCCATATTTAGGTAAGGGTGGGGGGGGAAGAGGACAGAAAGACTATCTATTGGGCCCCCTCGTCAAACTTGTTTCAAACCTGAGGACAGTGTCCTAACGAAGCATCAAGCCAGTGCTAGCGCAGCCCTGTCAGATGACTTTACGGATATGTTCAGAACAATTTTCAGTTAAGTCAAGATCCCAAATGCGTACGTAAAGCTACTTCACGCATTCAAATAAGTCTTGACTGCTTCTTTCTTGATCCCATTAAACCATTCAACAATTTAGTCCGAGTAGTTGGCGATTCATTAAGTGACCTACGAAAAAATCTACGCAGCCACGCGGCTTGCGACAGCGTACAGAGTACAGTAAACTTACAATGGCCACATGTGCAACGTTGTACCACACATCAGCAACTGCCTCATCAGCGGCAAGACTGAGGGCCTGCTCAAAACATGTCACTGTCATGTCGTACTGTTGCGCATAGAAGCAGCACAGCCCCAGATTGTTAAAGAGCTCTGCATTGTAGATTCCCATCTGTAGCAGTCTCCTGGAAGTAACCAAAAAGATCAAATTATTGGTATACATTATGACACAGTCGATTACCGTACCTTCACTCAGCCAGTAACTTAATTACTTACATAAGAATACATCAATTTAAACATACCTGTAAAATCTAAGTGAAATCTCGGGCTGGTCTGTATAAAAGTGTTGCATTCCTATACACGCAATGGCTTCCACATGCGTCGAGTCCTCCTTCAGGATATCTCGGTAGTACTTAATGGAAGTCGGGATGTTGTTAAGTCCCTCGAACAGCCTCGCCATCTCCGTTGTCAGCGTCACCTCCCCTTGGAAGTATTCCAGCCCCGTCTTACACGCGTCCAAAGCCGAAAGCGGCTGGTCCAGGCGGATATAAACACGAGCCAAGCGAAGGAATATCTCCACCGCCTGGTGCTGCTTTAGTGCCGAACGAAACTGTTGCTCTGCGTCACGGATTAAGCCCAGAGTGAAGTAGCATTTGCCAAGTTGCACTTTCCACCACCAGTCCTTGAAATTACAAGCTTGTGTGGCCTGTACAGCTAATTCCATTGCCTATAAAATGAGAGGTAACTCTCACCAAATAAATCCTTCAAAGTTTTCTTACACACATTACAACAAAACTGAAGTAATGATACATTGTGTGTATAAAACAGTAGAAAAATCTGAAGTCTCCTTACAAAGAAACCAGAGCTCTTAAACACAGACCAGTGGTATTTTTTACTCTGACTCTGATCATCAAATACAAGTTATAGAAGTTATTTACCCATCACGTTTCCTAACCTAGAATTATAATTAATAACAATTACAGATCTTTTTTTAAAAATGTTAAAGTTAAATTACAGCGAATAACAATAATTACTGACATGGACATTTTCCCCTTGTTACTTCTTCTATGCCCTTATTCTGTTGTGTTCCTGAACATTTCTCTGTTACAAATGCTCCTATTTTTCCAAGCGTCGCTTCAGCAATATTCTTAAATTTACAGAGCAATCGTCTCACTAAAAGCTCTGAACTTTCAACAATAAAATCACCATTTATGCACTGATGGTAACAAAATGGTGGAAATACACCTCAATCCTTTTGAAACTGCACGTCACCCCTTAAATTGTAGCGGACTCATTCACCCTTTATCGGAATTTTTCACTGCTTGTTGTCTGACAGCCAGTCTGCGTGCATTTTTATTTTGTGACAATAAGATGTACTTCAGCTAAGAGCATGTCCCTTGTTTTCACTGACAAACAGAGTGATTCAAGGCATCAACGTCGGCAACTAAAAACAAACTGTGGTGTAGGTCAACGCTATTAAAATAGTGAATTCAGAAATTGGTAACGAAAAACAAAATTAGACACTGGGAAGCCTCATGAACCATTAAGCACAACCAGAATCTCTCTGATCAGACAGTACAGGACATAGAGAAGCAGATATTTTTGACACCAAATCATTACGAATGCTTTCCCCCAAGAGACCCAGTTACCCTACACCGCGTCACGCAGCCGAGAAGAGAGCAAAACTATTTGTCACTGGTTCAAGAGTTGCTTTCAGCGCACAAAGAAATATGTGCGTTGTCGCCCGTGGTTTCAGCAGTTAACAGTACAACATTGTGGTATTCCGGATCTTGTGTGGTTTACAGATGAAGCATAATTTCATCTAAGTGGATGCATGAACACAAAACCACACATTTATATGTGTGTCGAAAAGATCCATGAGGAATCATTTTAATTAATGAAAACTGGTGCGTGGTGGGCAGTATCCTGCAGCAGCATCATTAGGCCTCTATTTTCTTGACTGCATCATGAACACAGACGTCTACCTCTCAATTTCAAATGCATTCATAAACCAGTTGACTAATGATGATTTAATACTGCCTACCTTCAGGAAGATAAAGCGAGATGTCGCACGTCAAATGCTGCACGAAGGAAACCAAAAGTGCTTTAGGAGACCAAGTTATCTCAAATGACCTCTGGCTGACAGGTTCCCAGGAGACTGTAGCCATTCCAGTGGACATCTTACGGGTATTCACCAATCTGGAGCATGGTATCGAGTTGTGTGTGAACGTCAATACAACCGCTCTCAGCATCTTATGTGACAGGATGCAGTTTCACAAGGCATGTACGTACCTCTGATCACAATCAGGGCATAAACATGGTTTTAATGTTAAAGTTTGGGCTTTCTAGCGAGAGGATTCTTCTATGCCCTTATTCTGTTGTGTTCCTGAACATTTCTCTGTTACAAATGCTCCCATTTTTCCAAGCGTCGCTTCAGCAATATTCTTAAATTTACAGAGCAATCGTCTCACTAAAAGCTCTTCAGGATTACATCTATTTTCCTCTAAGGCACATTATTTATTACCAAGCGTAGTAATAAGTAACTTTCTGACAGATCACATGTCAATGTCAAATAAAAATTTGAAAGCCACGATGAAAAGTTCTCAGATACTCATTCACACAGTAAAATCACCTGGTGACAGCTTGTCACTTCATCCTTAACCAAATCTGACTGTAAAAGAAATGCCAAAACACCTTGCAACTTACATGCCTAATATCATTTTCATGATAGAAGATGTACTCAAAGAGTGGTTTGGCAATGTTCCCTTGAGCTGCATATTTCCCTAGATTAAGCCGCGAGAGTTGTATGAATGGACCGTCAGGCTCTGTCAACATTGACGCTGTTCCAAGTCGCACGCTACGGGCAGACTGGGATGTAATGGGGCGGGCCGTCCTGGCCGTCCTAGGAGTACGTAACGCCTGTTCCATCGTTCCAGGGCGAGCAGACTGCGTAGCCGGGCGAACAACTCCACTAAGAGGACGCCCGCTCTGCGTCCGAGGCCTTACAGTACAGTTATAAACAAATCTCACACTAATAACGATACAACTTAAATTTTCAGCCAAAGGAAGGTAAGTGGTTATTAAAATTACTGTAATAAATGCATTCTCATCATTTGCAAGTTAATTGTAAGATGGTAGCCCTTCCTATATTAACTTCCAATTCTGTACAAATCTCAGATATTTTTATTCTTATTATTTAACCCTTCACTGTGGTTTCATGTACAGGGACATCAGGCATTTAAACATTCATGGGGTAAAGGTCAAAATGTGAGGTTGAAGGCCCTGGTAGAGGTGGCACCCTCACAGTGCAGCACCCTGGGTTGAATGTGAGGATACACTTGCAAAATTCACAAAGCAATGATTTTGAAACTGCAGTTCCCTTTTAGTACATAATCTGAATACATATAGAATGTTAATTTTACGTCACAATATTTATAAATGTTGAATTCAAAAGGATAAAGAGGGAAGTAATCATAGCTTATTATTAAGGTACTTAATGATGCTGTTTCAAATGCAGATGAAGATGAAATGATGGGTAGATGAGGCTTTGGAAGGAGGTAGTCACAGTCTATTTTAATACACTGTCACAGCATTCATCTGGAGAATTTATGGCAAACCACAAAAGGCTTGAATTTAGACAACTGGTAACCCAACTAAGATTTTAAATCTGCTTATTATTGGATACAAGACTAGAGAATTACTGCTATACCAACTAACTAAATCATTCAAGAGGTATTACAATTATAACAATTAAAAGATTGTTTGTACCTGAGTCCCTGAACCAGCCCTCCTTGTGCAGTACCTGGTGTACGAAGCGAGGTGCCTGGCCTTGCAACTTGTGCAACAATGTCATTGTCCATCAGTGCCTCTGCAATCCCTTCTTCTTCTGCCTCAATGTCATCCACATATACTTGCTGGGTGAGAGCTTTCATCTTGAGAGTCCAAATTGCCTAGAATAAGACGGACCATATACTACCAAGGATCTAATATAATAAAAACATTTTCACAAAATAACCTATCACATTAAAACACAAACCTGATCATAGGGATTCTTTTCCAATAACTCAGTACACACTGAAGCACAATCCTCGTATTTTTGTCGACGATAAAAACTTAGAGCTGTATAAAATGGATCCATACTGAAATCTTCTACGCTCTAATTTAAAGCGCAATTACCTCGAAAATGTACCGTCTACAAAAATTTCTGTTTACATTTAGTATTCATCGCATACCAAAAAGCCTACCGCACAGCAAACTTCGTTTTTCCACTTACAGTGACATCTATAATACATTTACGAGGTGTTCGAAACCCGACATCCGTAGCACACTCGGTAAGAACTATCAACCGTATAAATGTAAAAAGTTGCGATGACAGGACAATAAAGCATGTAAGAAATTAAAAACGAATTATAGTCAATGTATTTCTTATGACCTCTCGAAAATATGTTTGTTTGTTTGTTCAATACGTATATACTACATAACTGTAATAAAATAAAATAACCGTCCTGGTGATGTTGACAGCAAGGACCTGTGAAAAACAGGTAAACTTCTACCAGACAATGCGGCACAACCCGGACTTAAAACTTTGCATACCGTGTAGTGTATTAGAATATAAAATAAACAACAAACAACTATTAACACTATAAAAATACACTATTACCATTGCTATGGCTAGCCTTAAAAATGAGGACAGAGATGGACCTCGAAATATCGGCAGAGTTCAATCAAGTGATGCGGCTACTCACCTGAGATTTTATGACTGACATCTGCCACGAAAGCTTCACATCATACATAGTTTTAAGTAACTGTAAATATCACGCCAACACACTACATAGTATCAGTACTCAAATTATTTGTTAAATTTGATGGCATTTAATTTGATTTATAATAAATAAATATAGTTGGTATGCACTTTATTCATAAGTTACTATGACATTACATAAATTTAGCAACACTCAACAATTTAAATATATTTAAGAAGTAACCCTTCTTCTGGAATATTTCTCCTTTCTGTATAAATGCAAGAGCACAGTTCCCTGAGGGGAAGTGAAAATAAAAAATTGAACTCATCTATGAAACTGCCTCATTAGTTCCAACAACATTCTGCTCGCTGAGCTGCCATGTAAAAGTGCCATTCCACGAACGGTTATGTCAACATGCTGCTACCAGAATAATTAAATCCAAGTGTTACACAAAGAAACTGAACTTTTTAAAAAATACACAACTTCTTATAAGAATTCTGAATGCATTTACCCTGATCTGCCTTGTAATTCTAAATGTAAAATTTGGAATAAACACACTTCGAAGTCTCTGTTAATGACTCCACTAGCAAAATGATATTACAAAAATTTTATTTTCATTTCTGTAGGGATGATATGTCCACAAGTTGAAAGAACTTAATATATAAAAGTGAAAATTTTCATATTATCCATCATAAAATGATTAAAACATGGCAACATTCTCTGAATACATTCCATTTGGCACACACTTAGGCCTGTGCTTCTGAAATTCACAGCACACAGCTTACTTATAAGCAGTGTTTGAGATGGCTTGCAAATACCTCAGCTGAGCAGAGCAGAACCATTGCGCCACATGCCCTCCACAACAGAATTTATTTTAAAAACTGCAACTTTAAAACTCTGTTATCTTATTACCACTGGAACACACTGTGAGTAATAGTTTCTTACACCAGGGGTCACCAACCATTTTTGGGATTGTAACTAGGAAAATATTTGAATCAAAAAATGCCAACGTATGCTTTTCACACACAAAAACCTTTGCACCTTTAAAAACACTACTTTTTGTGATTAAGGGACCAGTCATATTTTATGTAAGAATTCTTTCACAGTTTTTAACCTTATCTCAAATATAAGAAACCGTATGGCGTAAGCATTGACCATTGTATTAATACCCACGCAACGTTGAAGTTCACAGGCACAGAGAGCGTAACCACGGCTCACCGTAGACCAACAACAGAAACCTCAACTTGGGCCATTGGACATAAAACTAAGTAACTCAATTTAGATAAAACACCAACTCTTGTGCAATTAACATCCAGTGCAGTATTGCATAAAGTATGGTTTTATAAAGTGTGACCTTTTATGCTTTATAACAAACCATCATCTTAAGCTAGAAATGTACTCCGCCTCACATCTTTTCACATCAGTGAACAGTCAACAAAATATACTGGATACTGTAAAGTGCAAAATCCTTGAGAGCACTCGAAAAACACCAAGATTCCCATGCTTGTATGGTTGATGATCCCCACCTTAAACTATACTACTTATAAAATGTACTCTGAATGGGAAATTTAATGTACTTTCCTTTAAAACTGTAATTTATTAACAAGAAAAAATAAAACTGTACAATATTCTGAAACCACTGACAAATATCTGCCATTTGTTAAAAAAAATGTTTAAATTTTTCTGCTGAGAAAGTTTTTGAAGTGTGGCAGATTCTGCACCCTTCACATGTCAATGTAAAGGGAACTTTCATAAAAATAAATTAATGTCTTGTCTTTACAATTAATAAATGCAAGCACGTCCTCATACTGCAAAAGTATACAGTCATTTTGGTATAACTGACAAATTTTTAAAACACAAGTACATAAATAGAACTGTTTTAATAAAAAAGTGATGATTTTAATCACTTTTGCTGAAGACCAAACTACACATAAAAGTGAAATTATGTCACAAATATTTTGACTGCTTCCCAGCATGAGGTCATAGATTTTCTACCTTCGAAACCTAGGCCCACATACACCCTTTGTTATTGAGTCATGAGCTGCTGTTTATAAATGGCAACAATTTTGTAACCAACTCTTGTGCAATTAACATCCAGTGCAGTATTGCATAAAGTATGGTTTTATAAAGTGTGACCTTTTATGCTTTATAACAAACCATCATCTTAAGCTAGAAATGTACTCCGCCTCACATCTTTTCACATCAGTGAACAGTCAACAAAATATACTGGATACTGTAAAGTGCAAAATCCTTGAGAGCACTCGAAAAACACCAAGATTCCCATGCTTGTATGGTTGATGATCCCCACCTTAAACTATACTACTTATAAAATGTACTCTGAATGGGAAATTTAATGTACTTTCCTTTAAAACTGTAATTTATTAACAAGAAAAAATAAAACTGTACAATATTCTGAAACCACTGACAAATATCTGCCATTTGTTAAAAAAAATGTTTAAATTTTTCTGCTGAGAAAGTTTTTGAAGTGTGGCAGATTCTGCACCCTTCACATGTCAATGTAAAGGGAACTTTCATAAAAATAAATTAATGTCTTGTCTTTACAATTAATAAATGCAAGCACGTCCTCATACTGCAAAAGTATACAGTCATTTTGGTATAACCGAGAAATTTTTAAAACACAGGTACATAAATAGAACTGTTTTAATAAAAAGTGATGATTTTTAATCACTTTTGCTGAAGACCAAAGTACGCAAAAAAGTGAAATGATGATTTTGTACCTTTTAAAACCTAGGCCCACTTACACCATTTCCAATTGAGTCACGAGCTGTCGTTTATAAATGGCGACAATTTTGCGATATTTCACGACAATATATTTGAACTGCTAGTAGCTTACTATTACAAACAGGATCATAATTCAGTCAATAAAATTCCTAAAGTTACTTTCCATTAACTGCTAACTTAAATTAAAATTAAATATGGAATTCAGGCTACAACTATAGTGCATCTGTTGACAAACTTAAACGCATCTGTCAATTCCCAGCTCCCAGCAGGAAATGCATAACTCACCATCAAGCTCCAAGAGCAATTGGTGCTAAAAGTGTTAAGTGATGGTTACAGTTGTGTGTGTGTGGTTATGTTTCAACAGACTGTTGAACAGCGTGTCTTTCCGTGTGAATCATGTGAAAAGTGATTCCGCTAGAAAATGTCAGAATATTTTTCAAATTTTGCAGGATCAAAGTTCCAAATATAACAGGCATCCATAACTTTTTAATAAAGTCACGCCTAATGGGTCACTGCTGGACCATAAACCAGCTAAAAAATGTGCAATGTGACTACCAAATAAAAACCAGAAAATACAGGAGCTAGGTTAAAACACACACCAATGAAATCGCTGAGCTGCCTTACCCAGGTGACCGGCATCTTGAAATCATCAGCAGTCAAAGCAATGAAGCTGCTTGAACTTCAGCCATACAATGAGATTGTAGTTCAAGTTTTGCAACCATGCGACCTCGATGGGAAAGTTGACGCTGATTTGATTTTTTATGATGCAATTGTTTCATTTGAATGGGCATGTTTGCTCCCAAAAATAAGTGGTAACGGAGTTCTATAGAGTGTGCGCTTGCACAGGGAGAATGTTTTCAGCAAATCATATAATTAGGTAAGTTGACATGCTTTATGGAGCAATGCTTGAAATCTTGTAGCACCTGGCAGCGAGTCGTTACTGCCGATACTTCTAGGTGCTGAGAACATTTAACTTTGTCAGTGGACACACTGTATTTTATCATTATGCAGAGTAATATAATATCACAAAAATGTACACAGGCTGCACATAAGGCATTGGTGCGCTAGGGAATAAAACACCTCTGATTTTTCTAGAAGAAGTGCCACAGCTAAAAATTCCTGATCGATAAGACAGCACAACTAACACAATTAAGCTATTCAAAATTCTGGCATTATCACTTTGAATCATGTCTTGAGAACTCTGATAATGAAACTATTACATGCAATTATGACAGCATATTTGAGCAACTCACATGAGATGTACCAACCTCTGGTGACAATAGATCAGTGGTCCCTTCTCACCAGGGGCATTATAATAATTACAAGTTTTATCAAATCAACAAGACTCGGAATTAACGTGCTATCAGAAGTTAATTACCTACGTCCACTATCTTATTAGAAGAAATTTGATTTACTTCTGTAGATTGTGGTTTCATGGATTGTGACACTGTTTAGTTTTTTACATAGTTACCAGTGTTCCGGAGGGACATACCATCTCCAACTTCAAGTCAGAAGTGCTACCCTGAAGATGGACGCAATACATTCTTACTAAAAGAACGGTGACAACATACATACATACATCTTTATTACATTCCATGGATCCATAAGTTAGTCAGATGACAATAGGATGTACAAGACTACAGAGTATCACAACCAATAGAACCACAATCTACAATTTCATTGTTTTTGAATAACTGTAAAAACTACAGAAAAGAAATATCAAAATAGTTTCATATATAAGAACACTTAAACCCACAAACAAGCAAATAAAAATGAAAGCACAAATGTTTTTGCTCTGCACTGTTCTCACCAGTGCCAAAAAAGTAAACATTGCCTTACAAGAACAAGCTTCCGTTTCTTTGCGTAAACTCTTGTGAACACAATAATAAGCCTTCGGGTTCTTAAGAGATGTTGAGTTTGACTAGCTTAGCATATTACCAACTTCTCCATAAGCAACTGCTCCATGGACCTAGTTACTTATTTCTTTGTCTTAGCAGGAAAATTGTGATATTCAGTAAAATTTCCAACCATAGCTACAGAACTATAGAGTACATTATGAACAATCTAGAGAGGAGGGGATCTCTTTAAGGTGCATTCTTGGAGCCTTACTTTACAAACAGTTCTGAAGTCTTAACTACAAAATTGAAAATTAACAGTTTCATGTCTTTATTTACATCACACAGCCATAATATTCCTTGCCTTCGTGTTAGGACAAGCGTCACGTGGCAGCCCTGTCCTTGCAAGCGCTTATCAATGCCTGCACCGGCTCAACCATTTGAAGAGCAAGATGGTAGTCCTGATGATCTTCAGGTAGATGCTGCATTATAAGGGCAAGCAGCTGTGCCAAGTCACTTAGATCAGGGGTGTCACTGCTCTTCAGACTGTCCTTATTCTGCAAACCAATGCCCCTGAACAATCTCATGGAAAGACTACAAGCACACGGCATAATTACCCTCTCCCCTGAACGCAGCAGAATACAGAAAACTTGAAAGAACCCTGTCCCCTCTCTAGTGCATGAACAGCACTGACAAAATGGTCTCCAGCTGTAAATAGTCTTTCAACCTCTTTATAGGATGATACAGCCACCATGTTGTCCGTTATCAATTCAACCACTGCAGTGAATCTTATACTGATGATTGTGATCAACATAACATCAACGTTAAGCCATATCCTCCAAGAAAATGCACGGAGAATGTATTTGTATGCAATTATTATCAGTTCATGAGCGTTAATGAAGATGAAATTGTCAATGGGAAATTAAAATGTTATAAATCTCCAGGCATCAACTCAATTCCAGTGGAACTAATCAGTACAGGCGGTAGAACACTGCACTCAGAGATACATAGGCTTATAGTCTCAATCTGGAGCCAGGAAGTACCACCACAACAGCGGAAAGAATCAATCATCAAACGGGGCAAAACTGAGTGCAGTAACTATATATATATATACACACACATGCACATATTTTTAAAAATTCAACTGCAAAATTTAAAGTGATGCTTTAAAATACTACCACGGTACAGCTGTAAAATATTTCTCATTTAACGATCACAAACATGGCAACCAATCTGTAAAAGTGGAACGATGCACTAGTATAATTACATTACATTCTACTTTCAGGAATCTTATGTCTTTGTCAGACATACCAGAACAAATTTAAATAAGACATCATTAATTCAATATTTCAACAAGAAATTACTTACCAGACTTTGAAGCCATATACAGAGTGAAGGATTGAGATATGACAATGTGCAAACCACATCTGGAGAGTTCGTAACAATCTTCCACATGCGCTGTCCGACAATCAGCAACAGCTGAGAGGCTAACAGAGATGAATCTTGCACTGCAGGCATTATCTGCATGATAAAACGATGACAGTCAACTTTTATATTTCCCTGCGCTTCGTTGGATTGAAAAGATATAAAATAAAGCTGCTTCTTCATCATATACTTCATGCCTTTACACACATACTGCTCCTTACGCTGATGTTTCACAAGCAGTGTACAGATTGCTTGGAAGACAGAGCTGCAGATGGAAGGGTAATATTAAAACAGATCTAAAAGAAATGTTACTTGAAGATGTGAACTAACTTCATCCGACTCTTCTGAATAAAATAAAAAATCTTCCAGTTCAATACTAGGTGGGTAATTTCACTAGCTGAGTAACAACCAGCTTCTGAACATAGCCTGTGTTCCATGTGCAAGTTACTGACAACAACAACAACAACAACAATATAATAATTCGCTTGTATATCTGGGCACAATTAATTATGTTAAAGTAAGTGAAAACCAAGTGACTAAAGTTTTACCTCCTCGGCCAAGCGATCGTAGCCATTAGAATAGAGTTCACAGATTTGGTGTCTGCATAAAGTGTCAGTGCTAACTTGCCATACAGATGCAAGGTTTAAGCATTTGCTCATCCACTGAACAGCAAGTTTGGCATCCAACTTTGTCACCTGTTAAAGAAATCAGCATGCTAAATTGAAGGCAGAAATATAAAACAATATCTATTACGTATATATTAAATCTTGTCCGTCTAATCACAATAATTCTTATTAAATATTAAAATATTACAATAATTAACATTTCAACATTTAAAATATTTAAAACATTTAAAATATCAAATGATGTTCTATTACATAAAAAATGAATGAAAACTACTTTTTACATTAATTCTAACATGCTCATTGCAGATCAGCACTTAAAAATAACATTTTGTGCAATGAATTTACTTTCAAAACAGCATATTTCCGTCTTCTTAACTTTTGTATTTTTCTGAGTGCATTTTTTTATATGTCAATCATATTGAGAACCATGAGAGTAGGATGTTTTATTAGTAAATTCGAAGTGCATGTTTCTTCATCAGCGTATTTCTTTCACTATTTTGTTACATTTAAACCATAATGTGATAACACGAGCCTGTGATATTTTAACAGTGATTCCAAAAAGTTTAATCTCAATCAAATAACACGTATATTTCAGACTCCATAATACGTGATATGAAAGTTCATATATTTTGAATAAAAGACAAATTAGAAAATAACAAAAAAAAAAAACTGTTAATGTTAACAAATTTTTTACTGTCATTTTTAAAAATGTTTATTTTGTTCAGGTTACCAACATTTGTTGTCCAATGTAATCTGTGTAGCATCACTTAAAAGTACTTCAAGCTATTACCTTATATTTTTGTGCATGCAGGCAATGATTCGTAAGCTTTTCAGTGAATATTATCCATTGCTTTTCTTTTCCTACAAGTTAAATACACGTGGAAAACATGAATATCCCAACCTGCACACAATTTCCAGTATTCTGCAGATAAATTCTACACTCAAAGCTCCATACTAGGAAACTTCTGCAGATCTCTGTCTCTCTCACACACACATACCAAAAGCCTCTTCATTTCTTTAGAAGAGACTGTGAGATTTACCTTTCTGTACCATAAATAATACCACATCCAGAAGCAAAATATTTTTTGAATAAAATTGTAGAAGCTTTGTAGCAGAAAATATGCATAATATGACATGTCAGTTTGCCCAGTGTGAAAATATGGCTAAAAATGCCAAATAGAGCAGAATGCCGGGCAAAAATAAAAGTGGAGGCTTTGGATAAAAGTTGCTTGAACAGAATTATTTTTCATTATTTCAGCTCTTTCTAAATCTACGTAACAGGAAAATAAATGCTTGTGCCCCTGTTCTGTCACAGTGGAAACATATTCTGGATAATGATACTGAAATTGAAAAGGGGGCTTTACATACGCAGTGCATGGCGGCACAGAGAGAACTGTGAGTACAAGGAAGAAATTTCAACTCATGTGGGACTAAATATGTTTGTTGTATCACTTTGTGTCTAGCCATCTTCCAAACTTCTTCACTGAAACTTTCTTATGAAGTGTCAGAGCCTTTTATGAATGATACGACCACGCTTGATTTCTATCGAGCTAAAATTCTAAACACAGCCAACACAGATGGTATGACACACGGTTTACGTTGCTGCAAGAAATATCGACAACAGGAAGCCAAAACACATGAGAGATTACAGAGGTACACGCTTTAGTTAGAGAATTAACACTGCGTTTCCACCTTAAAAATTCCTAGATCTGATATAAATTTCCTCTTGCTAAACAATTTCATATTTAGTAAATTTTATGCATTAATTTTTGCTTAATATCCTTTAAATTTTAAGTGTAATGCACTTACACAAATGACTATTACACTCATAAATCTCAAAAATAATTTTGTTGCAAAGCAATATCTCAACAGACCACCAAAATACTGTAACAGAACTCGTGATTACACATGGGTAATTCACAACAAAAGATAGATTCATCTCACATGTTATTACTATTAATAATGGCTTATCCCTTACTGCACTTGAAGTACATTAAGTAACACTTGACATAATTGTTCTCAATTACTTAATCTTCGCATATCAATCTGTTGCTTTTCTAAATCACACTTGTCCAGTCCACTTCGTGACTCACGTATGCTGTACTCGGACTTTGTATCTGCTAGTTTTCACATAAAGACTCTGTCGTGACTTGACATTTTGCTTGCCTGTTCTCACAATCAGGCTCAATTGCCAAGTTGCCAACATTTTTTAGCTGCAGTAATTGTTTGCCAGAGTCAATGAACATTCTACCTCACCCCAGAAAATAGAAGTTCTGGTGGAAGCTCCCCCAGAAGGTAGCACATTCAGCATACTGATGTGTCACGTGTGTGTGTCGGAGGGGATGTGTTCTCATTCTGCGGTCCATGACAATATAGCAAGTTTGGTAAACGGAAGCACAAAATCAAGAACTACAAAAATTAAATGTCGATTGGAGTGCATACTGCCATTTTAACTGCTTCACAAAGCAAACGCAAATACAGCCGCACAAAGAGCGTCTTTAAAGAGAAAATTATCTGCCTTACATATACTAAACTGATTCAACATTCAATCTGCTTCAGTGCATAGTGACAAGAGTCCAGTGAGAGTAGGTACCATTTCATTTAATCCAAAGATACAGTTATCCCAATTTTTTATCTAGACAAAAGAAAATACAATGGTAATCATCAATAAAACCACTACCTTATCGTCTTGATCATTTTCATCCCATTCCATCTTCTGTATTGTCTGCACAGCCAAAGTGATGACTTTGCACAGGAAATTAGTCCGACTGATAATAACTGCCTGCTCCAGATTATGGCCTGGTAGCTGAGGCTGCGAGGTTAAGTCCGCAAACAATGCTGCCTGACCCTGCAGAACAGAACAATTCATCCTCACTATGGTTAAAAGAAAATGCTGATGTGGACACTCAACTATTCCTAGTACTTCAAAGAAGTGGGTTTTGATACTATTTGGTTTCTAACAGCCAGTTCAATATACAGAGCAAGGTGGGCCTTCTGCATAAAATGCTGCCTTCTGACATACTCTGTAGGTTCGTAGCAAAACTAACTTCCAACATCAATTTTGGTGTTAATTCTTTTTAATAAATTTAATGTGCTGAAAGATAAAATGATGAGGTTTTAGTCTGTATATGCATTACTACTTATTGATGTATGATGTGTCACATAACTTACCTCTAGTTCTCGTAATGAAGTTTTCTATCCCACCATTAAGAGCATTGTAATACAACTGCTACGTGGTTCTATTTACTACATTTAAATTTTTGAACTCAGATCAAGCAAAGACTTCAGAAATTTGTATGACTCTCATTCATATATGATCAACACAAGCAGTGGAATATACAAGGATATTTTTGTCATCATGCAAATGTTTTATAAGTGGTCATTTCCCAGCAGGTTCTTTTGCCAGAATTCCATATGCATTCTTGTCTCTATCATCCTAGTTATATATGCAGCCTGTTACACGGCACTATTCTAGCAACACTACGCAACAGTGGAACACGGTGGTCTCGAGAGTTCTAAGTCTGACCCCCCAGTCAGAGTCCATATCCTTCATATCCTTCGACTAACACATTTCTAGCCTGACTTTCTTACTAACATGAACCATTACAGGCATTTCTCATTTCTTAGTTTATTTAACAATTATTTATCAACTAAATATGGTATACAGCACTGAATGTGAAGGATAATTGTAAAAAAATAAATTGGGAAGGATTAGGAAAGAAGTGGCCATGGTCCGTTTTGACACCATTCGAGCATCTGCCAGGAGGGACTGGGGAATACCACAAAAACCTTTGTCACCTGCACCAAGAATGGAACCCAAAGACATCCATCAGGAGAATTAACTTAAACCATTATGAACGATCACTATTAGAGAAATTTGTCTGAGAAACCCTTATAAGAGCCCAGGATTCTATTGGATACAGTTTGGGAACCACTGCTTTCAGGAATACTTACAAAATTTTAAATTTATAAACATACCACGTTATCAAAGAGAGATGAAATGGGGTGTGGGAAGCGCAAGATAAAGGAAGCCATCATATGCAAAGCAACAGCCAACTGGTGATTAAGATGAAGCAAGTCATAGTTGACTGCTGACTGCGCATGTTATTACTATTAATAATGGCTTATCCCTTACTGCACTTGAAGTACATTAAGTAACACTTGACATAATTGTTCTCAATTACTTAATCTTCGCATATCAATCTGTTGCTTTTCTAAATCACACTTGTCCAGTCCACTTCGTGACTCACGTATGCTGTACTCGGACTTTGTATCTGCTAGTTTTCACATAAAGACTCTGTCGTGACTTGACATTTTGCTTGCCTGTTCTCACAATCAGGCTCAATTGCCAAGTTGCCAACATTTTTTAGCTGCAGTAATTGTTTGCCAGAGTCAATGAACATTCTACCTCACCCCAGAAAATAGAAGTTCTGGTGGAAGCTCCCCCAGAAGGTAGCACATTCAGCATACTGATGTGTCACGTGTGTGTGTCGGAGGGGATGTGTTCTCATTCTGCGGTCCATGACAATATAGCAAGTTTGGTAAACGGAAGCACAAAATCAAGAACTACAAAAATTAAATGTCGATTGGAGTGCATACTGCCATTTTAACTGCTTCACAAAGCAAACGCAAATACAGCCGCACAAAGAGCGTCTTTAAAGAGAAAATTATCTGCCTTACATATACTAAACTGATTCAACATTCAATCTGCTTCAGTGCATAGTGACAAGAGTCCAGTGAGAGTAGGTACCATTTCATTTAATCCAAAGATACAGTTATCCCAATTTTTTATCTAGACAAAAGAAAATACAATGGTAATCATCAATAAAACCACTACCTTATCGTCTTGATCATTTTCATCCCATTCCATCTTCTGTATTGTCTGCACAGCCGAAGTGATGACTTTGCACAGGAAATTAGTCCGACTGATAATAACTGCCTGCTCCAGATTATGGCCTGGTAGCTGAGGCTGCGAGGTTAAGTCCGCAAACAATGCTGCCTGACCCTGCAGAACAGAACAATTCATCCTCACTATGGTTAAAAGAAAATGCTGATGTGGACACTCAACTATTCCTAGTACTTCAAAGAAGTGGGTTTTGATACTATTTGGTTTCTAACAGCCAGTTCAATATACAGAGCAAGGTGGGCCTTCTGCATAAAATGCTGCCTTCTGACATACTCTGTAGGTTCGTAGCAAAACTAACTTCCAACATCAATTTTGGTGTTAATTCTTTTTAATAAATTTAATGTGCTGAAAGATAAAATGATGAGGTTTTAGTCTGTATATGCATTACTACTTATTGATGTATGATGTGTCACATAACTTACCTCTAGTTCTCGTAATGAAGTTTTCTATCCCACCATTAAGAGCATTGTAATACAACTGCTACGTGGTTCTATTTACTACATTTAAATTTTTGAACTCAGATCAAGCAAAGACTTCAGAAATTTGTATGACTCTCATTCATATATGATCAACACAAGCAGTGGAATATACAAGGATATTTTTGTCATCATGCAAATGTTTTATAAGTGGTCATTTCCCAGCAGGTTCTTTTGCCAGAATTCCATATGCATTCTTGTCTCTATCATCCTAGTTATATATGCAGCCTGTTACACGGCACTATTCTAGCAACACTACGCAACAGTGGAACACGGTGGTCTCGAGAGTTCTAAGTCTGACCCCCCAGTCAGAGTCCATATCCTTCATATCCTTCGACTAACACATTTCTAGCCTGACTTTCTTACTAACATGAACCATTACAGGCATTTCTCATTTCTTAGTTTATTTAACAATTATTTATCAACTAAATATGGTATACAGCACTGAATGTGAAGGATAATTGTAAAAAAATAAATTGGGAAGGATTAGGAAAGAAGTGGCCATGGTCCGTTTTGACACCATTCGAGCATCTGCCAGGAGGGACTGGGGAATACCACAAAAACCTTTGTCACCTGCACCAAGAATGGAACCCAAAGACATCCATCAGGAGAATTAACTTAAACCATTATGAACGATCACTATTAGAGAAATTTGTCTGAGAAACCCTTATAAGAGCCCAGGATTCTATTGGATACAGTTTGGGAACCACTGCTTTCAGGAATACTTACAAAATTTTAAATTTATAAACGTACCACATTATCAAAGAGAGATGAAATGGGGTGTGGGAAGCGCAAGATAAAGGAAGCCATCATATGCAAAGCAACAGCCAACTGGTGATTAAGATGAAGCAAGTCATAGTTGACTGCTGACTGCGCAACAGCCAACTCAACTAATGACGGGGGACCCGATCCTTCACACTTCCAGAGCTCTTCACATCGATTCATGTCCAATGGAGCTTGAGCAGCACTCATTATGGTCGCCTGTCGCAAAGAAAATCCAACGCTTGAGAAACCAAGAGTGTAATTACAAGCTGCAATGGAACGTAATATTTTACATATCTCACTGCAGATACCAATCAACTGCTATGAAACTATACCCAATAATCTGAACCCAAATTAAATTCACATGAAAATGATCAGTAAAGATACCAATATTGATTTTTATTAAAATCAGTTCAGTAGTTTCATAGATGAAACTTGCACACACATGCAGAAAGACACGACCTCCCTGCAAATACTACAGTACTTTTCAATGTATATTCTTTGTGATTCATAATTCAAAAAAGAAAACTTACAAGTACACAAACTTTGTCAATAACTTCATGTCATAAACCACTTTTGATTCATTCATTACATTTCTGCCAAATGTTGCTAGAATAACACACATTTACTTTTTTTGACAGAACTGTGAAATTTAAATAAAATCATATGTGATACGAACTATTATGATAAACAAAAAAAGATATTATAAATTTGCAAAAATAAAGCCATAAATTTTTATTGAAAGTAAGAAACACATTCAATCAATGATTTCAAAATTACGTGATAACCATTAACTCCTTTTCCACTTAACAAATCTGCGTATTGTATTTAGCTTATTTACAAGTCAATCACACAATTTCATAAAGATGACTTGTCTTTTGGGTTTTAGTGCCGTGTAATCTGGTAGAAGTTCTTCAGAGGTGTTTGTTGCCTCTGAAATGTTTGTGAACTCCTAGCAGACTATAAGGTGCAACAACCCAGAAGATAATCGTCTTCAAACCTGCCTGTTGCCATAAGAACCTGAAATCTCACATACAGTTTCATAACTATTTGAATCTAATGAATTTTGTATATAAATACTTAAATTCAGATGTATGATTTATTACTATGTTAGTCTAATTTAGGTTAACATTATCTGCTAAAAAGATTCACATGACCTATCTAATTATAATTTTCTTGCTGCCATATATATATAGAACATTACATACAACTACAGATCCAACAACTATAGGAATGTTTATATTTAATAAAATAGTAAATAATGTTGGTATTTCATGATTATTTAACACTTCTTGTACAATGTTTGAGAAGCTACTATTCTGATTAATGAGTATGTGTTGTGATGAGCACTGAAATCCTCACCTTTTTTTTAGATGTGCCGTGATTTGTGTGTAGCAAATAATAAAATTGTTCTGTGCATCTGTCAATCTGTACTCATGTAACAACTAAATTACTTAATGAATTTCCATTAATTTCATACTGAAGTGTTTTACTAATGTCTATTTCACATTTCACTGTTTAAATCCTTGCTTCCATACTTACTTCCATAAAAACATCCAAGAAATCCACACACACGTTAAAAAACAGCGGCATCTCCTGATCCGACATTCCAGTATCCTGCCTACAGAGGCGCTCCTTAGGAATTTTACCAACTTTGTGAAACAGTCGAGCAGCTGAGTCAAACCTTTGTCTCAGGTGCATTGTCCACATAAGGCTACTTAATCCTAGTGAGAAGAACATGGATACAATATTACATACTGCAGGACACTTTTCTTGTGAACATGTGACAAATCCAAATAATCATGTGAAGAAACATAGAATAAAATTTTGGATTATGACAAATCAAAGATATTAAAAATGTTATTGAAAGTATGGCAATTCTAAGTCCTCTTCCCGTGTTCTATTCTAAAAGTGCTTCAAATTAGGTTTCCCTGTCATTCAGTATTTCTGCAGATCAAGAATCACACTTTTATTAGCATAAAAATTTTTTAACACTAAAAGTTTCCTACAAATGTGACTTTGAAATTATGATAGACGTTCATCCTCTTTAATATAAAAAAAACAAATCTGTCAAACTCACAGATGCAAATGGAACAAATTCACACTGTGGGGTATTTAAAAAGAATCACAGGAAAACAATCACTGAAAACTATATTGTGGCTAATGTCCACAGCTGAAGTCCAAGTGACCTTTCTGCAGTCCGTCGACTTCTGAAATGGGAAGAACTAAAGTTTACGAAGGGTTTCAAA